ACATTTGCTTGAGTTGATTCTGCTCTGAATCAGATAAGCCAAGCGTCTCGGCATACGAAACCCAATGTCGGCGAACTTCATTCAATGATTCTTGGGTCGTGAACCTCAGAAAGCGGCTATATGAAGAAGAGTTCCAGGCGACCATGTCCGTTGCACAGTTGATCAATTTTAGGCATTGATCGTTCAGTAACGATGCAGTTTGCTTATCGAAGAAGAGATCGTAGAAGATGGTCCAGTACTGGGTAAGCCGGTTTGCCGCGACGTCATCAGCGATGAACGTGAAAAGCAGGACGTTGCGTGCTATATGGTACGGATTTTAGTGACAATCAGATAGACAGCAGGAGAATCCTTAGCTACCTATGATGGCGGGCTCCCAGTCGCAACAGGTGACGTCCATCGAACGAGTTGCTGTTCATTAAGGACTTAAATCAATAAGATGAAGGAAGAACGCTGAGACACTCACGAATACCATGGTCCACGTTCACAGTGTATAAAATATTTCTGGGGTCACCACACCCAAGGAGAAGGATTTTAGCATCCACTTCTGGAGGTAAATGGTCTGTGAGACAGACGGGAGGAGTATTTCCGATAGGATAGTAGAAGACTTTCTTTGGCCAGAAGGTTGTGTGCGACATGAGAGCGAGGGTGAGTAGACGAGGGATACAACACGGGGTTTTCAACCTCAGATATCCTGCTGCGTAAAGAAGCACAAAAAGGTTAAATGCAGCTTCCCCGCCCGGAAAGGACACTTATGCTTGCGATATGCACATGTCTCGTCCGGAAGGCCAGTTCTTATCGATAATCAAACTATGTTATGGCAGGTCCAAATACGGATGTGACTTTGGAGGAAGGGGACTGGGCTGTGAATGCCCAGGGCCCCATGCGGTGAGGTCGAAGAGGAACACGGTCGGGTCGCCTTATAGCATGTCTTTCGACCACCTCTGCCGGAGTCCAGAGGGAATAGGGTGGATGAGTTCAACGGCGCGTCGAGGTCGAGATAGAGGTGGAAATCTCAGGTGGGGGAACGACGAAGAGCCTAACGTGCGATGGTGAGTGAGATGGGAAGGGTAAAGGAGTACGTTACCAATGTTACGCTGTCGAGGGTAGACCACGCGGCCCGTGGACGAAAAAACACACCTCGCTCACTTTGTTCGCCAGGTGCGCTACTTAGGCATTTTTGCAGAAGTTTAACTTCATTCGTGCATGGTGGCCAGAGACGTGCCAAGGCCCTGTGTCATTATTCCTATATTTAGTTCGTCAGAAGCCACTCCACGTTGCTGACTTGTGGGGCACTCATAATACTGCGGCTTGTGAAGTATTAAGTACGACGGCAGATGTCTATTGACATATAACCTATTTCTCCAGTACCCCTTCTGTTCTAAGAATATGCTAGGGGGTACCGTGGGGATCTGGTCAGGAAGTTCGAGGCCCAGCACCCAGCTTACAAACTTGAACCATGAGCTTGATCCGCCCAAAATCCCGACGACTCAGTTGGCGTGTCCACTGCTATTGTGATATCTGTCCATCCGCTGTGTGTATTGGAAGATGTCGATTACATGTATATATTTTGACAGATATGTCAGCACTGAAACGTTGGATCAAGAGGACAATGGAATACGATGAAAAAGCAGCAGAATAAGGGAGCTCATATCTGGCCTTGTCATATCCACAAAACCCGCGTCGTAAACCAGCAATCGAACAACATGGTTTCAGAGCACGGAAAGTGTCTTAGACTCCTTTACATGCTACCACGACGTATATAATCATCGCTCCGGGGTATGAAAGTGAGGAGGAAGTTGATTCAGAACTCACCTTAACTGGAATTGGATACCACACGCACAACTTGACGTGCGTTCATAGGGCTTATTGTGTACGCATTTCCATTTCGCTGAGGCGGTTAGGTTAGTGGCTGAACTTAGTTACAGTGCGTCAGATTCGGGCACTGGCGGGAATTCAGGGGGGACAGCGTCAAGTGGTACCACTGATATTGAGATATTGCCACGTAATTCAGATGTTCAAATTGCCTTTGGTGTCCGTAAGATTTATGACTTTAGTGACTGCGTCCATGCACCAGTACCTGATATATCAAGAAATACAAGTTTATTTATCCATCGAGTCCTAAATACCATGAACAACATCCAAGTTCAAGTCGATCGCTTTCCCAACGTCTTGCAAATATGCTTATGTGTCTTCCAATCAGCTTTCTGACAATCCTTCGAGCAATACTTTACGACTTGACAAGCGCCACATTGGAGAAGTTTTGGCTTGCCCGTACTCCCACACCGACTACATCTAGGGGTCTGCCGGCCAGCTGCCCCAGGAAAACCTCCAGGACCGGAGTCAGGATCAGGAAAGGCACCAGACAACATCGTCTCGAACGAGCCCTCTGTGACGTTCTCCAAATATGCCACAGGAAACACGAGGCTAACTGCGATCCGTGTTGCATGCGGCGCCAGCTCTTTCCAGCGATCATTCTTCAAGAATGGACCCAGGTCCCTGCCCTTCCCGCAGGAGCATAGTGGACTATCGTTGTATTCCATCGATAGGGGCACGCGCTCGTATTTCTGATATTCACATGTTGGGAGGTGTTGCCATTGTCGACAGCGTTCGGCGAATATGGGAAGAGCATGCTTCCACAGACGAACTTCCTCGCCATAGGTGTTGATGATAGCGGAAGGGCTACCGTGTAGGTGGCGAGAGAGCATGTTCATCATTGGAGGGGACGTTGGGATGATGATGGCTGCATCTCCGATTATTGTGGCCGACGATAGGTCAAGTCGAATCGACGATAGAAAAAGAAGTGCATAGGGCCTTGGACGCTCCATAGTGGGGTCTTGAAGAAGATAAGTTCCAACCTGGTTACTGGCGAGTTGAATAAATATGTTGGCAATGGATATTTTGAAGTTCATCAAGGGTTCCCAGGTCTCCGCATGTGCGGTATACTGCCGCCTCCGCTCGTCATGTGAAAGGGAGAATCCGAGGTGTATATTGACCCATTTGATGTCTCCCAAGAACGGGAGAATCGGGTAGGCATCGAGATTGATATATGGAGCGTTCCAGCAGGTCGTTCGAGTGCCATTTTTGCTGACGTCGAGCGTCATCGGGAATGGTTGAAGTGTCCGCTGTGTGAGAGGGGAGCTACGAGAAGGTGCTTCGACCTGGGGGGGGAGGTCTCAGTTTTTGAGCGGTGAAGATATAGTTGATACATACCTCGACGTACGAGGATTTCCTGGCGATCCGTGTCTTTGATCGAGTTCCGTCAACAGGTATCGGATAGAATAGAGAATACCGGTGTTCGCCAATGGATATTTCAATACAACAAGGTGCCGTTTGCTTGGTTTCCACAGGTGACTTATTCACCAATGCGCCTTTCGCGGCTGCTGCCGTGATGTTCAGCCGTTTGGATAGAGAAATGCTTCCGGCCTCGCTATCCAGGGAGACCCCTGTGGTCCCAAGAGTGGGAGTGCCGCTGACTCGAGTTGGGAGGGTATTCATAGTAGCGACCCGCTGGAGTTCCCCTGCGTTGTCCGGCCGTTCGCGTAGGATAAAAACGTGATCCCGGTTCGAGATTTTGGCGGAAAATAGCCGTAGATGTGATCCCAACTTGGAATAAAATAGGACGGAATCCATGGGAGTAGTCTTGATACATAGCCCGACTTGAAGATTGCGAGGTTCTTCCACCAAAATCATTCTGACCGCGTTGGTCTTCAACAATGATCTTTTGGCCCCGAGTGCCAGGAGCGTCGATAATGTCGCCGAAGATGGGGCGAATTGAACTGTGTGTATTGTGGAATTTATAGAACGTCTCGCATTCGAGGATGGGGTTCCCTGCTTCATCTTCGAGTACCTTGAGCGCTGAACGCGGTACCTTCAGAGCGACACAAACAAATGACGGAATGAGGTCCCATGTTTGAAAAGGGGCAGGCTTGGGGCCATATCTATCCACAACGAACCCGGGAGTGAGTGGGTTTTCGGAACGAACGCCCAATAGATGAAGATCTACGAAAAGGTTTTGAAAATTGTTGGATCCAAAGTACAGGCTGTCGGATCGTGTGACACGGTCGACGAAATGGTCAAGAGTTTGGGACCAGTCCACCTCGACGTGATGACCAGCGCGTATGAGCCTCAGAAAGCGGGCGAATGTTTCTCTATGGTAGTGGGGGTTTTGTATAGTGATAAGACCGATGTCCTTGGTTTCGATTTTATTACGTAAGGAGTCAACGTTTTCATTGTCAAACATGTTCAGGTATAAAGCAAACAGCTTATTAGCGAGCTCGGCAGGGGCGAAGCGGAGTTCGTGCTTTTGCTCGGTAAGCGTGCCATCCCATTTCCCATGAGTGAAGTCAGAGAATCTCCAGAAAATCCGTTCGTAAAGGCGGCCCTTGAACATCATCGCAAAGCCTGCGTTCTCGGAGCCATTACGAAACGTCAAGCCCGAAGAATGGCAGATTGGGGTAATACCGAGAAGGAGCGCAAGCAATGGAAAGTCAAGAAGCGCCCTCTTCTCAATGGCACTTCTCTTCGTGGGATGATATTCGTACAATAATAAGGAGTTGGTGTGCAAAACAGTGTAGGGGGTTCTTTCGAGAAGAGGGATGGCCGCGATGATGATATTCAATAATCCCAGATGGTCAGACAAGTTAGAAGAATCAACGACATTAAAGGATGCCGGCATGGACTTGTCATGGAAGGAGAATTTGGAGGCCCCTGCGAAAACTGAGCGCGACATGCTTTCCATATGTCACTCCCAGTCTTCGCGAGAGCAGGGGCTGCCGTGTGTTCGAACCTGGCTTTAGTCAAGGCAAGAGCAAAGTGGAAGGAAGAGCAGAGGTCTGTCCCATAATGGAGATTGAACTTGCGCCCGGCCATGGAAAACAAGAATGTCGGGTTGATCTGTGTTGTAGGGTGAGGGTCAGAGTTGGGGGTGGTAACACCAGTTTCCCAGTATTGAGTATGGGTCCCGAAGGATTCCGACGGGAATAATATGCACGCCGGAGCAGCAGCGTAGACGCATTCCAGGTCAGAGCCTTTGGTCGCTTTTTCCTCCATTTGCGATCGAAACATTTGCTTGAGTTGATTCTGCTCTGAATCAGATAAACTGAGCGTCTCGGCATACGAGCTCCAGTATCGGCGAACTTCATTCAACGAGTCTTGCGTTGTGAACCTGAGAAAACGGCCGTATGAAGAGGAGTTCCATGCGGCCATGTCCGTTGCGTAGTCGACTAGTTTTAGGCATTGATCGTTCAGCAACAATGCGGTTTGCTTGTCGAAGAAGAGATCGTAGAAGATAGCCCAGTATTGGGTGAGCCAATTAGCCGTGATGTTATCTGTGATGAACGTGAAAAGCAGGATGTTGCGTGCTGTGGTAAATATTTTAGTGAGAATCAGATAGACGCCAGGAAAGTCCCTAGCTACCCATGATAGTAGGCCCCCAGTCGCAGCAAGTGATGTCGATCAAACGGGTTGCTGTTCAGTATCAAATACTTAAATCAATAAGACGAAGGAAGAATGCTACAAGACTTACGAATACCATGGTCCACGTTCACAGTGTATAAAATATTCCTGGGATCACCACACCCGAGGAGAAGGATCTTGGCATCCACTTCCGGAGGTAAATGATCTGTCAGACAAACGGGAGGAGTATTTCCGATAGGGTAGTAGAAATTTTCCTTTGGCCAGAACGCCGTGTGCGACATGAGCGAGGGTGAACGGACAGGAGATAAAGTGCGGGTTTCTCAGCCCTC